TCAAACGTTTTCTGTAAGTCTTCACAAGGTTTTCACACACTGTTGCTGGTATTTTGGCCCATTCCTCCATGCAGATCTCCTCTAGAGCAGTGATGTTTTGGGGCTGTCGCTGGGCAACACGGACTTTCAACTCCCTCCAAAGATTTTCTATGGGGTTGAGATCTGGAGACTGGCTAGGCCACTCCAGGACCTTGAAATGCTTCTTACGAAGCCACTCCTTCGTTGCCCGGGCGGTGTGTTTGGGATCATTGTCATGCTGAAAGACCCAGCCACGTTTCATCTTCAATGCCCTTGCTGATGGAAGGAGGTTTTCACTCAAAATCTCACGACACATGGCCCCATTCATTCTTTCCTTTACACGGATCAGTCGTCCTGGTCCCTTTGCAGAAAAACAGCCCCAAAGCATGATGTTTCCACCCTCATGCTTCACAGTAGGTATGGTGTTCTTTGGATGCAACTCAGCATTCTTTGTCCTCCAAACACGACGAGTTGAGTTTTTACCAAAACGTTCTATTTTGGTTTCATCTGACCATATGACATTCTCCCAATCCTCTTCTGGATCATCCAAATGCACTCTAGCAATCTTCAGACGGGCCTGGACATGTACTGGCTTAAGCAGGTGGACACGTCTGGCACTGCAGGATTTGAGTCCCTTGCGGCGTAGTGTGTTACTGATGGTAGGCTTTGTTACTTTGGTCCCAGCTCTCTGCAGGTCATTCACTAGGTCCCCCCGTGTGGTTCTGGGATTTTTGCTCACCGTTCTTGTGATCATTTTGACCCCACGGGGTGAGATCTTACGTGGAGCCCCAGATCGAGGGAGATTATCAGTGGTCTTGTATGTCTTCCATTTCCTAATAATTGCTCCCACAGTTGATTTCTTCAAACCAAGCTGCTTACCTATTGCAGATTCAGTCTTCCCAGCCTGGTGCAGGTCTACAATTTTGTTTCTGGTGTCCTTTGACAGCTCTTTGGTCTTGGCCATAGTGGAGTTTGGAGTGTGACTGTTTGAGTTTGTGGACAGGTGTCTTTTATACTGATAACAAGTTCAAACAGGTGCCATTAATACAGGTAACGAGTGGAGGACAGAGGAGCCTCTTAAAGAAGAAGTTACAGGTCTGTGAGAGCCAGAAATCTTGCTTGTTTGTAGGTGACCAAATACTTATTTTCCACCATAATCTGCAAATAAATTCATTAAAAAGCCTACAATGTGTTTTTCTGGATTTTTTTTCTCATTTTGTCTGTCATAGTTGACGTGTACCTATGATGAAAATTACAGGCCTCTCTCATCTTTTTAAGTGGGAGAACTTGCACAATTGGTGGCTGACTAAATACTTTTTTCCCCCACTGTAAAAGTATACTAAACATAAGGACAGACTAACCATGGAGAACACTAAACATGATGACAGACTAACCAGGGAAGTGAAGTAGACAGAGGATAAAAGCTAAGACAACAGAGAATCTGGCTAAGCCTGTGTGAAGAGGTGTGTCTTTAGTGTGGACTTGAATATGTGTATGGATTGTGGGGTTCTGACATGGAGATGTGGGGAATTCCAGACTTCAGTGGGGACCCCCAGTGGGGTCAGTGAGAGAGGCTCTGAGTCGTGAGCTGTATTTGAGGTGGAAGAAGGCTGACATGGTGATGTTCCAGATGTGGGGTTCAAATGACAGAGGGGGATCAAATGTAACACCAAGGTTCCTGACTGTGGAGTTGGAGTGGATAGTGCAGCCGTCGATTGTCATGACCCAGTTTCTTGATGAGGGAGTTTGGGCCCATGAACATGATCTCTGTTTTGCCGTCATTTAATTGTAAAAAGTTATTTCTCATCCAAGTTTTCACTTCACGGAGACAGTCAACAACAGAGGGGGGTGGCAGAGTGGAGTTGGGTTTTGTGTGGATGTAGATGTGTGTGTCATCTGCATAACAGTGAAATCTGAGTCCAAATTGATGGAGGATCTGACCAAGGGGTAGCATGTAAATACTAAATAGTAATGGACCTAACACTGAGCCTTGTGGGACACCTTGTGATACAGGGGCTGGAGCAGATTTGCAGTTGCCAAGGGAGACAAACTGTTGTCTATCAGATAGTTAGGAGTGGAACCAGGCAAGAGGTGTTCAGGAAACTCCAAGAAGCCTCTCCATGTGGTCAGTTAAAATCTGATGACTGACAGTGTCAAATGCTGCAGACAGGCCCAGGAGAATGGGGGTGGAGATGTGCCCAGCATCAGCAGCACAGAGGAGGTCATTCACTACCTTTACCAAGGCAGTTTCAGTGCTATGCATAGCCCGGAAGCCCGACTGGAGGGGTTCAAAAAGTTAATGAGAGGCCATGTGTTGTTGGATTTGTGATGCTACCACCCGCTCAAGTACTTTGGCAAGGAAGGGAGGTTTGAGAATGGCCTGTAGTTGGTGAGAAGCTCAGTGTCCAGGCCCTGTTTCTTCAGTATGGGAGTTATAGTCACTATTTTCAGAGTAGGAACAATGCCAAATGAGGGATGCATTTACAATCTTGACCACCAGGGGGCAGAGAACAGCAAGGCATGCCTTAACTAAGAGTGTTAGTTAAAGACACTGTTCCCACAACCTAATGAAACATTTTGGGAACCTTTAAAGAACAGATTAAATGTGTTCTAGAAACATTCTTGCAACATCAGGCAAATGTTTTATACAAACATTCTATAATCATCAGCACGACTGGACAGTTTTTGTGTTATGAGGACATTTGCCTCGACCTAACAAATGTTCTGGGAACTTTCACAGAACCAATTTTGGTTTGCTGGGAAGACACTCCTGTTCCTGTTGAAACAGAGGAATGTTACTGTTAGAACCAGGGGATGCAGAAAATATTGTCAGAAATACAGACATAAGATTGTTCAACAATTTTATTGTTTCACATTGATTAAGTGACTCGATAAAAACAATGTTCACAAAAAAATTAAATACAGACATAACTGTTGGAGTTCGATACTGATGAACTTACCAGCATCATTTATTCAAATTAACACTTCCTGCAGCAATTAAATGTACATTCCATTGCTTTTGTCAGAAGGAAGACTAAACTTCACCCAACTGCATAAGAACAACAATTGGCCATCCAACCATCCAAATAAAAGAGTAAATCCAATTCGTACATCAAATACCCTCGTGCTGGAGTTGGCAGTAGAGGAATGGATAAGCCCTCCCACGTACTATGTCTTGAGAATATCACTGTTGTTGTTCTTTTGAGGAGTTAGCATTGCATAATACCCGCATGGCTGGTGAGAAGTAATCTGTAGATTAAGCCCGACAGAAATAAGTATTATAACTCCCTACATTTAACGCTTACATTTCCGATCAATGTATTCTAAAAACAATTTGCTAATAACGTGAGCTTTATTAATACAAATGAAAAGAACAACTACAACAACCATGGTCTCAGTAAATTGGTTTCATGCTCTCTAGTCAACTTTCAAAGTGGATTAAATTAGAACTGACAGTTAGAGATGTAACTCTTTGAAACTGCCCTCATGCATAATTGTTGTACTAGTGGCAAACACATGAAATCTTTACTTTAACAGTGTGCATGAGAAAATAATTGCTTTATTTATAGTTACTGTGAAATTAAGCACGCTTAAAAGCCAGGAAGAGTATGGTTTAATCAGCTCTGTTGATTCATGCTCTCAATTCGCACTGGATCTGAAAGCAAGGCACATTAAATACGTTCCCTTATTACTCTATAAAAGCAAGTGGCTAACCAGACAAATCATAAGTAATAAATTAATAGTCATAAAAACACCAAGTGCACAGACAGATACAGAAATTAAAAGCCAGCATCAAATACAACACTTAATCCCATTCAGCATAATAAAATCATGCAAGACAATAACGTTTCCAGGAACCAATCACATGCACCTACTGTGGAATATTTAAAGATGCTTACTGTTGATTTGTATCTCATTTGACGTAGACTAAATTAATATAATAAATATCTAGCATTTAGAGTCCATTTGAAAGGGATAAAATATATATATGTAAATGGCAGTGAGTGAAAAATGCAATCATTTTCCAATTAAGCCTTGCATTGAATAGAACAGTTAAATTGCATTACTTAATGTAAACCATAGAACTTTGCTGAAAGTGCGGTCAAAACTCACAACATCCAGCAAACACTATTTGTATAAAACGCCTCCCTTTAGATTGTCAGTATCTAAAATGTATAAAATGGCACAGTAGTACGGTACACAACAAAACCCTTTTGTAACAGACCACAAAGAGTGCAATTCAAGTCGTCAACATACGTTGCACATTACTTTGCATTGTATCTAACATTCAGTTGTACGTGCTTGGACAATGTTAAAAATAACAGTAACAGCATACATTAAGAAAACATTTTTAAAATATGTGTAAAAACGAATAATAAATAAAACATTGAAATAAATACATTGAAATAAACAACAGTGTCTCAATAATTACTAATTTCATATCTCAATAAATAATGAAATAAATATGGAAGCAAGTTTGTAAGATTCAAGGCGAGGCATCAGCTACATGTGTGTTGATGTAGTGATAGAACATGTGTATCAGCAGAGCAACTCCCATGGAAGACATATGGTATACAGACCTGGAGAACCCAAAGGTACTAAGCTCATTATCTTATGAGCTTTAGCCAACCCTTGTGACTTCCGTTGTCATGTCATACATGACATCTATGATATAATATGATATCACATGACATGGCCATGGCAACATACAAGTCAGAAGGGTTGTTTAAAGCACATAGATCTGTGGCAACCAGGCTGGAGCAGGGCCGTACGTATCAAGCATCTCTGAGTGGGAGTGCTGATGTAGGATCAGGGCCCCCCGTCCATATAACCTTATTTATTGTGATCTAAAAGGCAAAACTGATCCAAAATTGGCACTCCTACCTTGAGATGTGTAATACATATGGCCCCAGGGTTGTGTGCGAGGATTGTTCGGAGGAAGTACCATTATTAAGTACCAGGGCCAGGGGGGCTAAGTCTCACACTCCTCCCCCGCTACGGTCCACCGACACGGGCTCCCTCTGGTCGACGGGGTCCCTCTGCTCCAGGGGCTCTGTCTGGTCCAGGCTCTGTTCAGCCGTCTTCATCAGCATGGCCAGACGGTTGGCCGACACCTGGCCCTTCTTCACAGCACTCATCAGCTGAAGACAGGACACAGCAGCAGGACCATTTAAAAACATATAGATCCTTATAGATCTAGATCACCTAATCGCTTCTAGACCACCATCTATAAGCGATATTCTTCTATTCATGTGTTGGGATATCTGCTCCCAATACTTCTCTTGTGTCTTTTTCTATTGTCTTAAACCCTCCATTCCCATCCCATGTGATATACGCGTGTGTGTATGCATGCGTACGTAAGAGAGTCAGAAAGAGAGAGAGAGAGAGAGAGAGAGAGAGAGAGAGAGAGAGAGAGAGAGAGAGAGAGAGAGAGAGAGAGAGAAAGACAGAGAAAGACAGAGAAAGACAGAGAAAGACAGAGAAAGAGAGAAAGACATGCTAGAACATGTGTTCAGCTCACCGGCCATCCTGGTTGTAAGTCAGCTCATGCCTTATGTGAGGAAGACCATGCCTACCCATAATACCACCATAACCAGAAGCTCCAGCTTCAGCCACTGGACTCCACTCCAACACCCCCAGAAAAGCAGGAAATAAATGGTTCTTCCACTCAAAAAGTACACTAATGAAGATTAAACCAGGTTTTTGGAGCCACTAAATCGTACAAATAATTTGGTCTAGGGGCTGTATGTATGAAATGTCTCAGAGTAGGGGTGCTGATCTAGGATCAGGTTCCCCCGTCCATTTGATCTTATTCTTTGTGAAACTGATCCTTAAATCAGCATTTGAGATGCTTTATGAATGCGGGCCCAAGTCTAAGAGTACTGAGTCGATAGGTAGGCTGTCTCCTTCTGAAGAGTAAAAAAAAAATATTTGATTCCATGCACACAGCATAATCCTAACTAAATTAACACCCAAAAGACATTGATGAGGTTCATCCTTAATATAACAGCTAAACGTAAAGATTTCCATTCTTTCTCCTAATTAGTTGGATTTCAGCAGAGTGCATATATATGCTCTTAGGATGCAACAAAATGTTCACACATCTGACACAAGGGCTCAGACAGGTCATTCCACCTCAACCTCAAATAAAATCTTCCTTAAACATCGAGCGAAGTCAATGTAATATATGGAGAACATGCAAATGCTTCCCCTCTTTGATTTGAGACAAACCCATTTTCTAAGAGCATTACAGACATTGGCCTGTATTCATTAAGCGTCCAAGAGTAGGAGTGCTGATCTAGGATCAGTTTAGCCTTTAAATCATAATGAATAAGATGACATGGACAGCGGGAAGTTGGTCCTAGACTAGCACTCCTATTCTGACCATTGTTTCTAAGAGCAGGGTGATCAGTGGTGGTAAGTAACCCTAGTGGCAGAGGAAGACTGACCATGTTTAGGAATGGCAGAGGAGCCGGATCCCCATAACCAGGCCTTCACAGCACGTCTCCTATCTCTTGAGGGACAATTACCATTCCCTTTGCCTTGATCTTGTTTGTTTAACTTGACACAGTGAAGAAAGGGCTGACATTGACCAGAATCCCCTGCATTAATGTGTCTCATGTTCTGCATTCATCATTGTCACCGAGCAGGAGAAGCCTGGCAGTGTCAAGAGGAGAGGAGGGAGGGAGGGAGGGAGGGAGGGAGGGAGCACGTCCATGTGTGTGCGCGTGTGCACATGTGCTTCGCACTCTCTCTAACAGACACGCATGCATGCACTTGCACATGTAAGCATGCACACACATCTATTCACACTATTAACTATCATACACTAGAAAACCTAAAAAGATAGTTTTTTAGAGAGTGGAAGAAAATGTAAGACACACAAAAAAAAAGATTGAGGTGGGATTTTAAATATTTTTTACACAAAAATGATTATAATCGGACAAAATTAATATACTGTACCTGCAAGAATTCATTAAATTCCACTTGTCCATTTTTATTGAGGTCAACTTCATTCAGAATTTCATGGAGGGTGTCTGCATCTATATAGACATTGATACTCTGAAACAAAGGAAACATAGTTAAGAACAGACATCAGTAAACTGGTGCAGGTACTGAGTCCGCATCTCAAACACCAGAACTATGAACCACATGGCACCCTATTCCCTGTATAGTGCACTATTTCTGACCAGGGCCCATGGGGTCTCATCAAGTCACTTCAGCTACAGTAGTATCCAGAGCGACACGTATCCAGTATATTCATATCATTTCTGAGATGAGGCATCTTATGAATATGTCACCCCAGTATTTGCTCCCTAGCAATGAAACACATTTAATTTAGATTGTGTTGACAGAAACTCCCACACATCCCCCACAGCTAACCCACAGCTCAATTAGTAGAGAGAGAGAGTGGTCTCTTGCAGAGGCCTGTCGCCAGATGAATCTTTGTGTACAGCTAATCCATACTCTTTCAATGGAATGGATGTGAAAAGGTTGGGATTAATGACAGGGCGCACATTATATACTCCCTATAGTTATACCCCAGTGGGTTTCAATCCAAACACTACTTGAATGTTTTCCACTACACGTCATTCTAACAGCAGGAGCTACTACTACTACTACTACTACTACTACCACAATGGCAATCAATGATAATCAACATCTGAATATTCACTTGTGGAAACTAACTATGCATGGCAAATGCCATTTTTAACTAAATGAATGACATTTTCAACTAAATTAAATGAATTTGTTACAATTATCACCATTATATTTTATTAGTATACCATTATAACGTTTTGATTGGATCTCTAGATAAGTTTTTTTGAATCCAAAGAGTGTGATCAGGTTAAGAGCATATGAACATAACCTTATCATTACATGTTAAAAGGCCTGAATTATACTTCAAACATCATTTGACAATGCTATGTCAACTAATACTTATACAGACTTTTTCCACATTTTGTTACGTTACAGCCATATTTCAAAAATGGATTATATTGATTATTTCCTCATCAATCTACACACACAATACCCCATAATGACAAAGTAAAAAGAGGTTATAATTTTTTTGAGCAAATGTATTACAAATAAACAACTGAAATATCACATTCACATAAGTATTCGGTCCCTTTACTCAGTACTTTGTTGAAGCACCTTTGGCAGCAATTACAGCCACGAGTCTTCTTGGGTTTGACTCTACAAGCTTGGCACACCTGTATTTGGGGAGTTTCTCCCATTCTTCTCTGCAGATCCTCTCAGGCTCTGTCAGGTTGGATGGGGAACGTCGCTGCACAGCTATTTTCAGGTCTCTCCAGAGATGTTAGATCGGGTTTAAGTCCGGGCTCTAGCTGGGCCACTCAAGGACATTCAGAGACTTGTCCCGAAGCCACTCCTGCGTTGTCTTGACTGTGTGCTTAGGGTTGTTGTCCTGTTGGAAGGTGAACCATCGCCCCTGTCTGAGGTCCTGAGCGCTCTGGAGCAGGTTTTCATCAAGGATCTCTCTGTACTTTGCTCCATTCATCTTTCCCTCGATCCTGACTTAGTCTCCCTGTCCCTGCCACTGAAAAACATCCCCACAGCATGATGATGCCACCACCATGCTTCACCGTAGGGATGGTGCCAGGTTTCCTCCAGACGTGATGCTTGACATTCAGGCCAAAGAGTTCAATCTTGGTTTCATCAGACCAGAGAATCTTCTTTCTCATGGTCTGAGAGTCTTTAGGTGGCTTTTGGCAAACTCCAAGCGGGCTGTCATGTGCCTTTTACTGAGGAGTGGCTTCCGTCTGGCCACTCTACCATAAAGGCCTGATTTGTGGAGTGCTGCAGAGATGGTTGTCCTTCTGGAAGGTTCTCCCATCTCCACAGAGGAACTCTGGAGCTCTGTCAGAGTGACCATCAGCCGGGCTCTTGGTCACCTCCCTGACCAAGGCTCTTCTCCCCCGATTGCCCAGCTCTATGAATAGTCTTGGTGGTTCCAAACTTCTTCCATTTAAGAATGATGGAGGCCACTGTGTTCTTGAGGACCTTCAATGTTGCAGAAATGTTTTGGTACCCTTCCCCAGATCTGTGCCTCGACACAATCCTGTCTCGCAGCTCTACGGACAATTCCTTCAACCTCATGGCTTAGTTTTTGCTCTGACATGCACTGTCAACTGTGGGACCTTATATAGACAGGTGTGTGCCTTTCTAAATCATGTCCAATGAATTGAATTTACCACAGGTGGAGTCCAATCAAGTTGTAGAAAAATCTCAAGGATGATCAATGGAAACAGGATGCGCCTGAGCTCAATTTCGAGTCTCATTGCAAAGGGTCTGAATACTTATGTAAATAAGATATTTCCGTTTTTTTATTTTTATTAAATTAGCAAAAATGTCTAAAAACCTGTTTTCACTTCGTTGATGATGACATTTTTTTATTTAATCAATTTTAGAATGAGGCTGTAACGTAACAAAATGTGGAAAAAGTCAAGGGGACTGAATACTTTCCTCATGCACTGTAATTAGCCCAACTGCTCCGCATGCACAAGATCAGTTGGAGGGAGCGCTGTTATCGTGTGACTGAAACGGAGTGTCATGGTTACTGAACTAAAAGAGGATCATCAGAGCAATGCTGTGTTGTGGAGCACCGTGGTTATATTAAATCAGAGAAATCTGACACCCCTTCTTCAGGCCTGACAAAGGCACACAGGAGAACTCCCACTACTAATCGCACACGCACTCCAGAGGAGAGAACAAAGGGAAACGCAACATGAGACTGAGCATCATTCGTTACCTCTAATACCCGCTGAACATCCACGGTGGTGATGAATCCCTTATTTTCTTTGTCAAACTTGTGGAACCTTTTCATATACCTGTTGATAGAAGAAATGAAGTGGTGGGTGGCTGTTGGCTCTGTGCTAGACCAGCCCTCTGAGACAGACAGGGAAGGAGAGGAGAGGGGAGGAGAAGGGGACAGTAGTGTGGAGTCCTCTCCTCAGCCTGTCTGTCTTTTAAAAATATATTTAAAAGCTTTATTTAGACAGATTGGAAGTTACAAAGGGAATACAAAGGGGATAGTTGGAAGGGACGACTCCGCGCTTGAACCCCGGTCTCCGGCGGGAAGTCATATTTATGTTGAGAGCAGAGAGTTCTGCACCAACCTGTCTGTCTTACCTGTCCACCTCAGCAGGAGTGAGGGTGATCTCGGAGGTGTCTGTCAGCTGCTCTGAGCGAGCCTTGTAGCCCATCTCATAGTACAGGAACTGCTTGGCTGCAGCTAGCTCCTCCTACAGGAAGTACACATAACAGGAAGGTGAAGGCCGATTTGAAGACCAGACATTCATCACAGCAGCACTAGCACTACTGACACACGTTAGCACACATTCATCACATAGCAGACACTCAGACACTCACATACAAACAGGAGGTCTGCAATCTACCACAAATACTGTAGCTTGTAGCTTTCTAAATACCTCCTCAACCACCTGAATCATAATTACAGTAAAAACAGGGGTCAGTTATCCATAGTGGTGAATTAATACTTTCACATTCAATACCGGTTTGCTTTTAATTTGACTTGGTAAAGGTGCTCTAAGGAATGCAGACAATAATCACTCCACAACTGGGCTTACATTCAATGGTCCTACTGTAGGAGTAGAATTAGAGGAAGGGTGAGGCCCCATCTGAATTCATGAGAATCAAACAGTATCAAAGCTCTAGTTAGGTATTTCTCTATTAATAGTCCAATACAAACAAAACCTAGACTGGAATAGAAATATCAAAACAATACCTATTTAGTGGATACGCAAGCAGTGAATGGCTTTTGTTAGCTGCATATGATTACAGTGTGAATGTAGCAACAGCATAGAGCAAATCTCAGTAATTAACCTATGGTAATGACCAAAGCCAATTTATGGCTCTTAATAAAGATCAAACGTATCCAGGTTAATGTGAGGTCGATCAAATGCATGTGCAGGAATATCCGAGCGGGAAAATCAGTGACTGGATGGGAGAGAGATACTGGGAATGGTGCCAGTCAATTGGAATTTTCATACATATTGATTGTATACTGTACAAATGGGTTAAGGAAAGATGTGTCAGTTTGAATGGAGTGGTTTTGTCTGTGAGATAGGGTTGCAAAATTCCAGTAACTTTCCCAAAATGTCTAGGTTTTCCAGAAATCCTGGTTGGAAGATTTCTTGAATCAGAAGGGAATGAGCAGGAAATCTGGAAATCCTCCAATCTGGATTTCTGGAAAACCTGAGAATTTTGGGAAAGTTACTGGAATTTTGCAACCCTACAGTGAGAGAGTGGTGCAGCTCACCCTCTTCCTCTGCTCACTCCACATCAGCTGCTTTCCCATGATGTCTACAATGCGTGGGAGGGCCTCCTCGGCCGCTTGCACGTTCAGGAAGCCCAGCCGCGTGCGCCTGGCGATCACATCGATGGCAGTGCACGCATACTCTTTGATGGCATACTGGACCTGGAAACAATATGGCCGTGCACACATACTCTTTAATGGCATACTGGACCTGGAAAAATGTCATGCTTATTCTACACATGTTCTTAATGCACCTCTGGTCATTCACCTATTCACTGTTCTGTTAGCTCTGTTGATTAGGAATTAAAGAGATCCTCCGGTACTTTTGTATACTTTTTAGCCAGTAGTTCTGAAAGTAGCACTCTCAAGGCAAAAGTGCTCCCCAAAAATCTCTCTCTCTCTCTCTCTCTCTCTCTCTCTCTCTGCCCTGCAAACTCATTGGATAACGCTGGGCAGGCCTCTTGCTAGCTGCCACTCAAATGCGAGGGGCTGAAGCTTATTGGCTAGAATTCGAATGCTAGAGGGCTGTCCCACGTGAGGGGAAATGTACGGAAAATAGCTTCACAGCTTCAAGAAAATATTTGCTAATTGAGGTAAGACAGTAATTCTGCTCATAGATTATGCATGTAAGAACTACTCATTGACACATCTAGCCCAAAGCGGAAGGTTTAAAAAATACTTTCTTAGTCGCCAAAGTACCGGAGCATGTCTTTAACTACAGTAACTTCCCAGGTTTCCAGAACTCCTGGTGGGGAATTTTGCAACCCTAGATATAATGTACATACAAACCTCACTCTCAATGTAGGGGAATTCAGATACGAGGCGTTTGCCGACGATAGGCCATCTCTTGCCGGTGACATGGGCCATTTTGGCGACCTCGTAGGCCCTCCCTCCGTAGGAAGAGGCCAGATGTTGGGCCACCTGGACACCACACACAGACACATTTGCAATCCAGTTCAAATCCAAACAGAATGGGCCAATGGTCCCTGGGAAATCTATTGCATTTAAATAGCACCTTTTGATATGAGATCAATATGCTGTATTAACAGTCGAGTCACTCATTGGGAGATGGCTGCAGAGGAGACAGCATGCCTTGACTGTGATACATTATGTGCCAGAACTAAACAAAGAAGAAGTTATTTCAATTCAACCGGTTTGGTTACTTTTTTCACTAAAGGTCAAGCGCTGTCAAAAATATCAGCATATTGACCTTTTTAAACATTCCGGCAACATCAGGATCATAGATTATGCTTTCTTCCCTCTTCCGCGCTAACGAAGGGTTAAATCTCATTCACACTAAGTCACAGGGGGCTGCAACTCTCTCGGCTTGTCATTTGCAGGTCATTGTACAGTTCATTTGAAGTCTAACATGGCGTGCACTGTCCTGGAGATGTGACTGTGTTGTCTGGAGTACAAGAGTCTGAGTGGTTCAGTGACAGAGAGAGTGCAAGCTGCACTGTTAGCACTTCTAATCCACTGTGCTAAAAGCACTGATGTTCAATTCACTCATTGGCCAAGATGAACACATGTGGCTCGTCATTGGTTTGTCAGGGTACTGATGGCACAATTTTCATTTGACAGCAGCTTCTGGGATTGTGTGGACTAATGTACTAAAGGAGCCCTGCAATTCAGCTTTATGGGCCTGACTATTCATTAGTATCCTGCTACAAATTGATGTCATACAATTATGGCAGACCATTACCTCAATAAATCATTACAACTATCTAAAATTATTGGTAACTTTTTTTAAATTCCAGCTGGGATTTTGGGAAAACCTGGGATTTTTGGGAAAGTTAGCAGAATATTGCAACCGTATAGCTACTAGTAGTTGTGCCCACCTCCACTTCCAGGCCATAGTCCTGTACCAGGCGGATGTACATGGTAGGAGTCCAGTCTTTAGCTCCCTCTAGCATCAGGCCCACTGTCTTACTGGGGCCAGCAGAAAGGTTATGGGCCTTGACTGCAGCATCCAGGGTCTCCTCCGCCATGGAGCGATATGTTGTCCATTTCCCACCTAGACAAGGATTCAACATTTGGTGCTATTACCACACTACCTGTAATAGACTTCTGTTAATATGGTGTTATTACCACACTACCTGTAATACACTTGCGTTAATATGATGTTATTACCACACTATCTGTAATAGACTTGTGTTTATATGGTGTTATTACCACACTACCTGTAATAGACTTGTGTTAATATGGGGTTATTACCACTCTACCTGCAACAGACTTGCGTTAATATGGTGTTATTACCACACTACCTGTAATAGACTTGTGTTAATATGGTGTTATTACCACACTACCTGTAATAGACTTGTGTTAATATGGTGTTATTACCACACTACCTGTAATAGACTTGTTAGTGCTGCAATTCAAGTATAGGCCTATATTATCTCACACAGATAAGTTATATGTACAGCATGATTAGCATTGATAAAATGCAGAGAAACATTTGACTGTGCAGACTAACCAGCGATGGTGACCAGTCCGCTGTCACTGATGTGGACAATATGATTCCTGCAGATTGACTGAGTGTCCTTGGAGTTGGGGTTTGTGACCAGCGGACGAATACCACTCCAGGCTGCCAAGACATCTCCTCTCCTCACTGCACAGGACAAAGAGTCCAGACAGAGTGAGACCACACACACACCTACACATGCACACACATACACGTTAGGCTACACAAAGCAGGAGAGACACACAGCTATGAGAGTGATGGACAGCTAGTGGAATCATTGCATGCTGCTACTGCAATCTAGAGGCCTCTTTCTCTATTCCACCACATCACAGCCCCAACTAAAGCCTAAATAACACCTCACTCCTCTACTGCTAGAAAATAAATGAGTTCCAACTCCTACACCACAACAGCCGCTCTCTCTTCATATCGCGGTGACATATAAATAATTAAATATTAATATGCTGTTGTGTATCGATTGAAAAAATCGCTGCCACTATAATGGACTGGTTGATATTTCTGAATAAAACAATGACAAACTCATTATCAAAGGGCATTTTTTAAACATTTATGACAGCTGAGTAGCTCTGGGGCTGAAGGCCTCACATGGGCAGTAAAAAGGGAGTAGATAGAGACAATGCACATTTGTACTGCGGTGCAAAGTGAGAGCTATGCATGACAAACAACATCTCTGTGCATCCCAAATGGCATCCTGTTCCCTATTTAGTGCACAACTTTCGACCAGGTTCCATAGGGCTCTGGTCAAAACTAGTGCACAATATAGGGGAATAGGGTGCCAGGGGAATAGGGTGCCATTTGGGACGCAACCCGCTCTGTCTCCACCTCTGGCTGTATTCAACATTGGGGACCTGCTTGCTGCATTCAAGAGTTAACCGGCTCAGTCTGATTGACTTCAACTTTGTGGGTATACAGTGGGGCTGTATGGAGTTCAACTTTCTAGTCCAGTACGGTGTCTGTATTAGGACAGCCTCAGAAGTCTTGCTGAGATTGATTCATACCTAAAAATCATTCAACTCACACTGAAAACATATACATTTACCCTTCCTCAAAAAATATGGCTGTGAACAAAGGACATATTCTTCCACGCAGAAATGTGGGTTGTCTGGGATGTGAAGGATACAATATGAAAAAGAGTGCCATTTTTGGATTTTGAGAGACAATATGAGTTGAACTGATGGGTCCTTTGTTGGGATGACTCATTATCAGGGAATGGAGGCCGTGTGGAAACATTCCACCATGCAGAGAGAGGGTGCGTCCCAAATGGAACCCTATTCCCTATATAGTGCACTACTTTTGACCAGAGCCCAATGGGCCCAAGTCCAAAGTAGTGCACTATATAGGGAAAAGGGTGCCATTTGGGACACAACCCGAGTCCAGTCCGTACTGCAGTATAAGAACAAAGCAGGCCCAGTGCTTCAGCTGTAGCAGGCCAGTGATGTGCTACTGGTACAGTACTGTTACAGTTAGACATGGGTTCAACACTATTTTAAATCTTTTAAACACTATTAGCAATCGCTTTAGCCTGCTTGGAGAGCCAGATGGGCGGCATTTGCAGTTTTGTGACTATTCTATTGGTTCCATTGTGCCAGGCAAGGTCAATCAAGCCCAGCTAAAAGTATTTGAAATGATTTCAAATAGTATTTGAACCCAGGTCTGGTTCCAGTAGGGATCTGGAGCTGTTTGCTGGGTGTCACTCAGAGGTTGGTGTGACTGTGAGAAGCCATGGAGACCACTTCCTTACAGGAAGGACTGGAGGAAGGACTGAGGAGACACTGCCTGTCCACTCCAGGCCACTATGTCTCTGCTGAGGTGTCACCGCTGCGTAATGTGACAAATCCCCCCTGGAATGATCCCCCTCTCCTCTTCTCCTTTCCTCTGCTGTTCGGAATTACTGGAGACTCCACGTCTGGAGCCCCAGCACGTCCACAGGCAAGGACGGAGAGATGAGACGGAGGAGAAGAGTCCGCTCCCTCATGGCCTCCCGCGCCATCACTTCACACTTGTGTTTTTTTTCTCAGGCTGTAGGGCCTTCTGCTCCGACTGTGACCACAGGACTTGGGGAGACAGGGTCTCGCCCAGACATAAGCCACATGTCAGCCTGGCCGGCTGTCCAGAGCACAGAGCACGCTGGCTGCAGCCTGGAGCCGCCCGGACGCTGGTCTGAGGCCTGAGCCGCAGAGCCACCATGACACATCGTCCTCCTCCATACGCTCCATATAGACAGAGCTACTGTACAGTACAGGTGCCACCTCTCCACTGTCTCCAGGTCTCGGTAGAAGGAAAGCTGGGCAGCTAATGAGTAGGAAATGTGCAAAAGCTTTTTGGGTTAATCTTATGCTGGATATAGATAGATGGAAAATAATGATGGAGAATGCAGTGCTTTGGGATTACTGTGCCATTAGATTGGCTGGCCAGTAGAGGATGTGGATGCAGACTACAATCAAGCTAATCAATCAAATAATCTCGACAACCCCTTGTGCACTGAAAACAATTAGACCACTTCTCCAAAATCAATAGCACTGCATTCTGTTTAGATACCCACCGGTCCTTCATTTAATATAGTCTCCCTGGGTTTTGATAAACCAGTCAGTCGGCAAGACCATCAGAGGCCCCAAATGGGAAAAACATATACAAAATACATAATAAGAGCTCCAGGAAGGTCTCATAAAAATCGCAAATCGAAAACAATATAATTTAATGTGGTATTGGTTATTTTTCACTTATTCATAACAAACCTCCCATGTGGAGGTATAGGGAGTAGAAAACAGATAATCTATTTTGTCCTAAGTGTTTAGGGAAACAACAGGCAGCAATGCATTATAGTTGAAGGAAACAAAATAACTATGGAAGAAATCAAATAGGGCTTCACAAAAGTTCCTATAAGAAATCCTCAGAGTGGTGTTGGTTGATGTCTCCTGTTTCTCGACTGCAGGTCCCATACATAATTAAAGCAGGAATTTGTATCTGTCTGCACTCTGTGGCCTCCTGATGAATGAATATCTGGTGGAAGTCCTACACTGTGCTACACTGCCATCACATTAGCCCATTTATATCAGTCAGCTGCTTGCTCTATCAGCTATTTGTAAATCTAGAGAGGGAAAAAAATACTGTGAGATTGTCGGACGTGTATTTATTATCATAAATGTCTGTTATGAATTAGGTATGATTCTAACGTCAGTATAGTGCCGTAAGTGTAAAAGTATAGTACACTGGTGATTCATGGCTTGTGAAGGAAATATGTGTTGACATTGCTACCTTATACCTTTAGCATCATGGCCTTCCCTTCCATAATCCTATGGAAGATTGACTTGAAAAACTATGATGTATAGAATATAACCATTTCACTCATATATCATATTTTTTACAAAATGATCCAGACTTCTGATATTACTGGATATTCAAGTTATTATAAAGATATAACTGGCTAATTGAGTTATTATATAGATAACGCATATGCCATTATCAAAAGTTTGTAAAGAAATGTCAATTCATTATTATAATAGAGATCTTCTACTCCTGCACTGTGAATCCCTCTGAGAAACCATAAGCAGGTCATAGCAGGTTATAGTCACCTTCGACGTCGGGGCTGAGGTAGTTGCGAACCTCCGTGAGGATGAAGTTGATGTCCTCCTCCATGGGGATGGGGTGCGGTGTGATCTCCGTGGGCGTGTCCGTGGTCCCGGCGATGGTCATCTTCTCCCAGGGCAGGAAGAAGATGACGCGTCCGTCGCTGGTGGCTGGGTCCAGGAGCCCCATGTTGTCTGGACTGAAGGTAGGGTGCAGGGGTGTGGTGGAGGGGGTGTGGTGGAGGTGGAGGGGGGGAGCAAACAAGAAGACTGCATTAACCTTTGGTCTGCTGGGGGTCGTGAGCGGGCCGACTGGGGGACACCCCATAATCAGGCTCCTGTCAACGGTCTTTCCAGGAGATTAATTCTGCTGGTTTCAATTCCAGCTATGCCGCTGCTCCCGTATAGTTCCAGCGACAGCATAGCCCTCATATTGTCCTGTTTAAAACACATGCACATGGTACTGACTCAATTTAATACAGGAAACAGGGGAGGGGTAGAGGTGTCGGGAAAGGGGGGGTCGCTTTTTCTTCCCCTGCGAACACAAATAACATGCATCAACAAGAAAACCAGCACTGAGTACACTCTTAGAAAAAAGGGTTCCAAAAGGGTTCTTTGGCTGTCCCCATAGGAGAACCCTTTTTGGTTCCAGGTAGAACCCTTTTTGGTTCCAGGTAGAACCCTTTTTGGTTCCAGGTAGAACCCTTTTGGGTTCCAGGTAGAACTCTTTTGGGTTCCATGTAGAACCCTATGTGTAAACGGCTTCTACCTGGAACCAAAAAGGGTTCTTCAAAGGGTTCTCCTATGGGGACAGCATCACAGGAAAGTCTGGTTGAGTAGGTCAAAAGCTCTCTTCAAAAATCCAAATTAATCTGGAGATAAACGGCATACAATGCCATCTGTTTGCTTGATTTAACTCATCTAAATGGCCTTTTCGACCTAACAGGGAGTGTGAATAAACACAAAGGGACATGATGCACCTGAACACAGCCCCTCAGCAGTAAGCACCTGTTCTGAACCATCCATGCAAGAGCTTCTTGTATCTTAAGAGTGCCTATGTTTTGTCCTAGCTGTCCCTGTCCCTGTGGCTCAGCCGAAGGTGCTAATGAATTGATCAGGCAGGCGCTAATGATGCAGTGGGGACGTGACAGAGACGGAAGGAGGCGTCATTTGTTACCTGTAATAGCCCGGGATGACGATGTGCACCCCTGCACTGGGCTGACAGATGTTGGGGTTCTTCTGATCATCCATTTTCCTCAGTGCGTCAGTAAAAGGTCCCGTGGCATTGATAACACATTTGGCTCTGACATCAAATTCCTGCCCTATGAAAGAAAACAGCATCAATCACCAGGGGCCATTCATCTGTACCCAGTGACAACCGGGATTATTAATTTATCAGCCAACACCCCTTCCGTAATAGAGTGGCTCGCGTGTGTCCATGGGAGACTTCAGAGGATTGTAATTAATAGGAAACAGACATACCTAATTTCCCTCTCGCCTCTTTGTGTCATAGTGCAGCCCAAGAGGCAGTGTGCGAGGGTGTGCTTTTAATGCGCACAGGGAAATGTTTGCATCCCAAATGCCATCCTATTCCCTATTTAGTGCACTACTTTTGACCAGGGCCTATAGGGCACTGATCAGAAGTAGTGCACTATATAGGGATTAGGGTACCATTTGGGATGCAATCAATGTTTGTTAGTGTGCTGCTTGATGTTGACGAGCCTTTACAATGGGGCCCATATCAAAGGTAGTGATGATACTAAATGATCTGTTTTGACAACGACTTGAATGATGGACTACCCTCCTAATTTGACTTGTGACACCGTGTCATAACGAAAGCAGAGAAAAGCAATACTGAAAAACATAAAAATGACATATTGCACAAATGTTCAAGCATATAATTGTAACACTTGACACATTAATATTGTAGAGAGAAATAGGAGTACAATTAACTGAATTAAAGCAGAATAGTGATTCAAAGTATTCTTACTAGCACTTTCCTTGTGAGGCCTCTCTCTCACCAAAGAAAGTGAGGCTTCTTCTTATTTTTCTTCGCAAAGAAAGCACACTTCTATCTTTCAAAACATCAGGGGGCAGTCATGTGTTGAGATCCTCAAATTTTGGGTATGTTTCAGAAACTCATTCTTTCCCTTACAGCTTTATTCCTCCAAAGCCACTCCTATGCATGACATTTAAAAGGGAAGTTAGGCCATTTGGAGTACGGTAATTCCGTATTATATTGCTAGCAGATCTGAAGGAGCCCTCTACACCATAAAACGCTTATAAAATATTAAAGCCCCACATTAGATCTGCGATGACTATGTGCAAAATACCACTGATTAACAGGGCTACCTAACAGGCAGGCTCTGTGAGCTAACGCCCCATGGTGAGTGCTAGGGGGCAGGGAGGAAGCAGCGGCTTTGTAGCTGTAGTTTCACCTGTGATCACGTCCCTGCAGCGTGCTCCACAGACCCTCTCCGTGCCCATCTGAGGATCTACCCACTTCAGGAGGTGCACCACTTCAGTGTAATTGGCTATGGCAGCCCCATACCTGGCAGCAGTGAGGGCGATGGCGAGGTTCATTCGAGCATCGTTGTGTTGTCCTGCAGTGGGGGGACAGGACCAGGGGAGAGGATGTGAGTCACCCCCAGCCTGTGACTGGTGGTATGGAAGTGTGTCAGAACCGATATGTCACATCTGTCCCTGTCACTTTGCATCAGTGGGATGGCTGCGCCGGCCACACAAGGAGCACACTTAAAGCCACAGTGGCCCTTTGGCCTGTCTGTGCGCGGGGTACGCGAGCCCCCCCCCCCCCCCCCCCCCCATCCATCCACAAGAAGAGCAGCGGGTTGGGCTCAGCAGGGAAGGTTGGTCAAAGTGTTAAACCTACCAAGTATGCAGGGCTAGGAATTGTCTTACCTGTTCTCTAATAACCCATGCCTATTTCTGTATACACACCGCATGCATGAGTGTGCCATCACTGCCTGCAAACATGAGGATACTCATTCAGTTACATGGAACATGATCACTATAATGTGTATACTTCATACACATTGTTCAGATTCAATCAATAGGCAGCTCAGTTAGGAAACACAGGGGACAAGGTCAAGTGAGGATAAAATCAACTTAAAACCAATCAATAATACTGCTCCTTTTCAAAATGGGTACAAAACGTGGGGAAATGATAATGGTAGTGAGCATTGAAAATAATACATTTGCAATGTCCCTGGTACATCACCATCAGGAGTGGGATTCTGACAGTGACTGATCTACTTGTAAAGCAGAAGATCCCTCCTCAGAATTCATTTAATGAAGAGAGGAATCTGGTATCAAGATTTATGGATTAATCCCTCTCTGGCTTGAGAATATACCCAGATCTATATTCAAGAGTCAGGAGGTCATAAGTTTTGTAATTTAAATGAAAGGGTCTAAAAGGTGACAAATGAACAAAGCCCGGTTTCATTAGGAAGGGATTCTTATGTACATCTTTGAAGATTTATCGCTGGAAAATCCTTTGGTTTAAAGTAGAGAAAAGAACAGAGATGATTAATCACTTTTAATGTTGGTGTCTTGGGTGACTTTCTTTCTATTTGTTATTGCCAGGCGAGGTTCAAGTCCTCATTGTTGGCCTTGAGGGGAAGAGAATGTTCCTACTTTGCAGGAATGTTATTTTGTGCCTTGATTTATTTGCAGTTTGAATGACCAGAGGCTAGGTAACTGGTAGGCTCTGCTGGTTAATGCTACCGCATGCTCTGAGCCATTCCACCACTAAGAAAAATTAATTAATTAATTGGAAAGAAAAAGTAAAACACGAGAAAACAACACATTTAAAGGCCACATTTTAGAATGAATTACATACAAGAGTATGCACCCTGCCATGATGTATTAGGAGGACAATATAATCCACTTCATCATCTCTGTAGGCTGAATATGACCATTAGAGTGTATGGTCGGCTAACGTCTGCTGTGCTGTGGGTGTACAGTCAGTGTGTCTGATCCTGGATGATTGCTGAGCCCCCTGCTGCCCTCTAACCTCATGATTCACAGCTCTCCACTATGAGCCTGGCTCCGCTGCCAGTCACACATTTGCAGCGCCCAGATTACAGCTACATCCATCACAATGTTAAAATAATCCGATTACAGCTCCATTTACCACAAATGTTAAATGTGATTTAATTCCAGGATTAGTCAGATAATGTAACGAAGGATTATTACTATGCCATATTTATAATAATGGGATTATAATCTGATAATCTGATAACGCTAATAATGATAATACATAATACAAATAATTGGACAATTAAAGCACAGGCCATCAATAGTGAGCATAAGGAGCTGAGTGTCATGTCTCCCTAGAGGAGAGACAGTTGAGTGGGAGCCCCAGCCCCCTCCCCGCCCCTACAGTCCCGTACCTCCTGCTCCACTATAATCCGCACCTCCTGGAGGTACAAAACTCAGTGGAGTGAGAGGAACTCCATGGTTGGACAAAATGCTGCAAAATGACAAGGAAAATAATGACAATGAATTTCAAGTCTCCCAGTCATGAGAGAGAGATGCTTGGCTGGGCTGACTTGTCCAATTAAATTGTTGCAGGTACAGCGGGGGACACAGTTATTATCCCAGACGCTTCTGCGAATGACTCCTCTGGCTAAAGGAGAAGAGGGTAATGAAGGGAGGAGAGATAAATACACACAAAGAGGCTCTATTTCCTAAAACATGCATATGAAAATGATGAAGTGTAATAATGTACATTTACATTTTAGTCATTTAGCAGACGCTCTTATCCAGAGCGACTTTACAGGGTTTTTTCATACTGCCCCCCCCCGTGGGAATCGAACCCACAACCCTGGCGTTGCAAGCGCCATGCCCTACCAACTGAGCTACACGGGTCTAATAATAATAATTGTCATATATCACCTTATTACATCTATACTGTAATATTGCATAGGATATAATACTATTCACTGCCATCAAATTTGAAATGGATCCATTTCAGTTGGAATATTTTGTCATTTCGGACTAAATTGTATATTTGTCACGACTTCATGATCTAAGGCTAAGGGATGTCTACATGTTAAAACTATGTGAGCATGATGGCTTGAGGAATCCTGAGGAGATTAACTGAAGCAGTCAAAACCCAATCCCACATAAGGAAGGTCAGCTTTTAAAATGTCATTGCCATAATTGTCCCCAATTGAATAATGGAAGGGAAAAAATGGCAGCTTGAGGAAAAAACTGTTAACTGTCAAACTAGCCTAACACATACAATACAACGTAATATTTTCATCCAAGTCTTCACAGCTTTTAATTTTCAGTCTTTTACCAAAATAATCTGATATTTAGAGAAGTGCTTTTTTAAATAAATATATAAAATCATATTTTGACATAAAAAAAAAGAAAAAAAAAGTGATATTATAAAACAGAGCTAAATTATATAGCTCCAGCATAACGCCCTCTCTCCCACTTACTTCTGCTAAATGAGTAAGGTTGACAGATCACTGCTCAGATCGCAGCCACATTCCCTTAGAAATATGTTGCCTTTTTGCAGTACATGGGAATCCACATATCCTCAAATGTTAAATGAAGTCTGACAGATAGCCTGGAGAAACCAAGTTGGGAGTTTGAGGCTACGTAGGAGACCTTGAGTAAACAGGACATGCTATGTACACCCCGGCTAACAATCAACATATGCTTTGTTTTTCTGATGCCAACACGAGGCATGGATAGCCTGGAGAAAGATGGGTCCTGGGACTGGATGGAACCAACAAGGGAATGCCTACTGGCTATTTTCTGCTTAAAACCATGTTGTTTCTCTTTTCTTTACACTCACATAGCCAGCAATTACATTGCTGTGTACGAAAAGGAGTTATTTATATGAAGGAACATAAAAGACTAAAGATTCAGGAGATAAAATAATCATTTACGTTCTATACAGGATTATAAACTGGGTGGTTTGAGCCCTGAATGCTGATTGGCTGAAAGCTGTGGTATATTCACAGGTTTGACAACACATTTATTTTTACCGTTCTAATTACGTTGGTAACCAGTTTATAATAGCAATAAGGCACCTTGGGGGTTTGTGGTATATGGCCAATATACCATGGCTAAAGGCTGTATACAGGCACTCCTCGTTAGCCGTGGTATATATAGTATATACAGTGAGGGAAAAAAGTATTTGATCCCCTGCTGATTTTGTACGTTTGCCCACTGACAAAGAAACGATCAGTCTATAATTTTAATGGTAGGTTTATTTGAACAGTGAGAGACAGAATAACAACAAAAAAATCCAGAATAACGCATGTCAAAAATGTTATAAATTGATTTGCATTTTAATGAGGGAAATAAGTATTTGACCCCCTCTCAATCAGAAAGTTTTCTGGCTCCCAGGTGTCTTTTATACAGGTAACGAGCTGAGATTAGGAGCACACTCTTAAAGGGAGTGCTCCTAATCTCAGCTTGTTACCTGTATAAAAGACACCTGTCCACAGAAGCAATCAATCAATCAGATTCCAAACTCTCCACCATGGCCAAGATCAAAGAGCTCTCCAAGGATGTCAGGGACAAGATTGTAGACCTACACAAGGCTGGAATGGGCTACAAGACCATTGCCAGGCAGCTTGGTGAGAAGGTGACAACAGTTGGTGCGATTATTCGCAAATGGAAGAAACACAAAAGAACTGTCAATCTCCCTCGGCCTGGGGCTCCATGCAAGATCTCACCTCGTGGAGTTGCAATGATCATGAGAACGGTGAGGAATCAGCCCAGAACTACACGGGAGGATCTGAAGGACTGAAATCCTGCAGCGCCCGCAAGGTCCCCCTGCTCAAGAAAGCACATATACAGGCCCGTCTGAAGTTTGCCAATGAACATCTGAATGATTCAGAGGAGAACTGGGTGAAAGTGTTGTGGTCAGATGAGACCAAAATGGAGCTCTTTGGCATCAACTCAACTCGCCGTTTCTGGAGGAGGAGGAATGCTGCCCCACCATCAAACATGGAGATGGAAACATTATGCTTTGGGGGTGTTTTTCTGCTAAGGGGACAGGACAACTTCACCGCATCAAAGGGACGATGGACAGGGCCATGTACCGTCAAATCTTGGGTGAGAACCTCCTTCCCTCAGCCAGGGCATTGAAAATGGGCCGTGGATGGGTATTCCAGCATGACAATGACCCAAAACACACGGCCAAGGCAACAAAGAAGTGTCTCAAGAAGAAGCACATTAAGGTCCTGGAGTGGCCTAGCCAGTCTCCAGACCTTAATCCCATAGAAAATCTGTGGAGGGAGCTGAAGGTTTGAGTTGCCAAAGTCAGCCTCGAAACCTTAATGACTTGGAGAAGATCTGCAAAGAGGAGTGGGACAAAATCCCTCCTGAGATGTGTGCAAACCTGGTGGCCAACTACAAGAAACGTCTGACCTCTGTGATTGCCAACAACGGTTTTGCCACCAAGTACTAAGTCATGTTTTGCAGAGGGGTCAAATACTTATTTCCCTCATTAAAATGCAAATCAATTTATAACATTTTTGACATGCATTTTTCTGGATTTTTTTGTTGTTATTCTGTCTCTCACTGTTCAAATAAACCTACCATTAAAATGATAGACTGATCATGTCTTTGTCAGTGGGCAAACGTACAAAATCAGCAGGGGATCAAATACTTTTTTTCATCACTGTAGTCCCGTGTAGCTCAGTTGGTAGAGCATGGCGCTTGCAATGCCAGGGTTGTGGGTTCGATTCCCACGGGGGACCAGTATATAAAATAAAATAAATGTATGCACTCACTAACTGTAAGTCGCTCTGGATAAGAGCGTCTGCTAAATGACTAAAATGTAAATGTATATTGCCAATATACCAAACCTCCTTGTGCTTTATTATATCATATATGTTAGTGTGACACAGATTTCACTTACAAAACAGGATTATTAGTGAAAAAAGGGACCTTAAAGGTGCAGGGTCTTTTTTTGCACTTAGGACTGATTGGACCAGTGGTTCTATATTTGGTGAAATGGTTTGCGGCTTACCATCATAGTAGACAATGGCTCCGACCAGTTTGTCTCTCTTCAACATAGGAAAGAGCTCCAGAGCCTTGGTCTTGCTGAGGATGTAGCTGCTCTTCAAGCACTGGGCTCCAGCCACCAGGTCGTACATCTTGATCCCTGCCCAGTAGTAGGGAAGCTGCCACCACCTTTCACACACAGTGGAAAAGTTACAATTAAAGGGGAGTTCCACCACTTTTTCGCCTCATATTCAATATCTCCAGCACCATACCAGTGTCTACATATGTGAAAACGCTGCATTTCTACGTTCTGCAATCAAAAATATCATTAGAAAAGGTCATAAGAAAGGGCCACTTGATGATGTCATCAAGTTCAGATTATTTACTATGACTCAATTAGGTGTCATTCTGTAAGTGTATTTTTGGTTCACGCTAAATATACAATGAATAATACATTCTGAGGGTTTCTAGATTATAATAGAATTGGGAAGGTAGGTGTAAAATGTGCACTTCTGAGTGTGAAGGATATAGGGTCTGTGTTGGCATGATGACTTTAGGCAGTGCATGGCAGAGCACTGGAAGCCAATCTGGTTTTCCCACACCCTTCAGTAATGAGACACACCTGTACAATGCTTTAAATACCAGAGAAGGATCTTAAATGTCATGTGCAATTAACGCTCATGATACCAGGCATCACCAATCAAATCAAGCCCCTAAGTTCACACAAGGCTCAGAGAGCTGGGGTGATATAGTGAGATTGTGAGCAGGTACGGTGGACCATCAGCCATTTTACCCATACCCACAATGGGCCTCTCAGCCCCGGGTGATTCTCTTAAAGTTTATTGCCATTCAGGTGAACTTATCTCCATCTTCAAAACTTCATGTCTTTACCAAGGGAAAGGTTTACTGCTTCATGTGATATTTTCGGTGGTATATGTAGTGAGAAACGACCCGAGAGGTGGAGATTCGAGGTTATTCTTACTTGTATATGGGGAGCATGATGGGTAAAAGTGCAGTCAGATGAGGGGCGATATCCAGGAGGTTGGAACGCTCATGTAGTGCTTCCTTCACCATCATATACTGGAGGAGAAAATAAGATCAAAATGGATTATATCCAAATCAAATCAAGCTTTATTTATACAGCACATTTCAGACATGGAATGCAACACAATGTGCTTCACAAAATTATGAAATAAAACAATTATAATAATACAATAAAAAATTAAAAACATAACTGCAATAAAAACAAATAGTACAAGCTCAATCGTATCCACTTAGCCCTTTCTGAAGACTGGTTATATTTTTTTCGGTTATATGTTTTTCTCTCAATGCCTAATACGGTAGAACTGAGGTCACGCGAGAAAAAATACTGAACTAAACTGACTCCTATCAGTATAGCTAATATAACCATTAAGTGTGAATAAATAGCCATTTAACCCATTTATCCTAGTGGCATCCTATGAAATACAGTAAGATCAGGTTCATTGTATTTCTTTAGAACAACAGATATATAGTATACATGGGTCATGTCTTCTTAAGTGAGGGATTTAAATGGTAAAATGGTGATTCATCGTTTATTAGAAGAAACATGTAAATGTTATTGTTATCATGGAGGACCAGTGGCTGGCCCAAAGCAAATATGGAATGAATTGCCTTAATTTGCTTTCCATTTCCTCGCTGGCTTGTAGAGTAGGTGAGTAGCCTGTACTTTGCTGCACTGCTGCTGACTTTGCAGTTATGTTTCCTGCAATCACACTAATTGGCCCCTTCTCCAGCTCACCTCCAAGACCCCAGCATGTTCATACAGATAGGAAAATAAGACTTCCAAAAAAACACAGGCCTAAAATAATGAGATTCTTCAAGTGCTCTGAAATGTAACAGAAAACTGTGACATTTGAGTTTGAACCTGGGTGACTCTTCTTAACAATAAACAGACAAAAGAAGGCCCAAATGCTTTATTCCTCCCATTACTCTGATATACATTTCCTGTATTAGCCTAATTTCCGTCTTGTTAATGACAGGGGCGCTAGCTACTCCTTCCTCTCTTTCCCAGTTGTAGCAATTCTTTGAAATAACTTAGAAAATCATAGGCATTCACTCAAGGCGAGCATGTCAAGACCTTTTTTGAATGAAAAATGAATCCAGAGGGTAAATAAAACAATATGACCAGACGGACCAGGAATTAACCGGATAAGTGTCAGCTGCATAGAAAAAATGAAGCATTTACCTGTTCGTAATCTAATTTTACAATGGCTTTCTGTAGATATCGGACTCCTCCGTGAATGAGTTTGGTGCTCCGGCTGCTGGTCCCAGATGAGAAATCGTCTCGCTCCACCAGGGCAGTTTTTAGATCTGACAATGGGAAGGGAACCAAGGCAACAGATCAACAGCAAGCTGATATTTGGCTACTTATTGTCCCAAATGTTTAGAATACATCACATATTATTTTCATATGCATGTCCTTCTGCTGTAATAATGCATGATGGGATAAATATTGTGCAGGCATACATATTCCATTGGGTAAAAACTGACAAGCATTTTCATTACAACCACAAAAACTAGTCAAAATGTTTGGATAATAATTCAAGGATCAAACAAGTAAAACATTTAATAAAAAAGACTGTACAAATCACTTTACTTGATAATGTTTTTGTAATTATATTGTTATCTAAAAGGAGAGTATATTGGAGGAGAAATTGTCTGACTTCCATAAAATTCTTGAACATTGAAACTGCTCCTCACTCCCACCATTAGAGGCTTGTATGCTGTCCCTGGTGGATAGACACTGTAAATCCCAATTTTGAAAAGAAGAAATGGAAAATAAATGTGGATTAGGAAAGGGGGATACGGCGGGGGTTTCCAAAACCCCTGCTATTTCACCGTTAGACAGTCAAATCGATAAAGGAGAAAAACAGCTTAAAGAAACCTCTAACCAAGTTTCAAGTTTTAATGTCACATGCACAAGTACAGTAAAATGACTTTCTTGCAAACTTAAAACCCAACAATGCAATAATCAATAACAATGTATTACTAGAAAAAAACACACGAGAAATAAGAATAGGAAATATGAAATACACAATAAAGTAATAAGTAAGTAAGCGTACTATATACAGGACATATTTAAAAAGTCAGTTCCAATACCATATTTACATGTGCAGGGATACTGGAGCAGCATAGATAATTGATTAGGATGTAAATGGTAATCGCAAGAGGAACCCTCATCAGAGGAACAAAAGAGACATATTTCAATTTTTGGTGATTGGACTCTGGTCTCTTCTGGGGAAAATAATCCTAGCTATTCTGGAGTTCCAGCCTCTGGAGCTGGCTTCTGAAGCGCCTTACAGGCTGAGCCCCAGGGAGACGGCTTGGATGCAGCTTCTGCACAATGACTAGGAGGTTATGCAACATCAGGACAGAGAATATACAACCGATGCTGTGAGGGGGGACTGGAACAAAAGTGTGCAGCCGCTCAAAATCCTTGCAAAATGCGGATCCAAACTGCAGTTGTTGTGACAGTTGAATAAAGGGGATTCATCAGAATTTGAGAGAGAAAAATGTGTGTGACTAATCAAAATAGTTTTGCCTTAATAGTTTGTGATATCCACAATGAAGTGGTCATAGTTTACGTACAGCAATCAGCCAATTTCACTATGCTTCTTAGAGGTTATTTTACAGAGATTAGTCATACCATGAGCCCAGATTATTGTCTGCTGATGATATTCTAAAACATGATGATAGAAATTCTGGACTTGCTTCAAGACAGAAGCTGGTCAACCCTGAGGGGTGCAAAGAAATTATCCACATGCAAAAGACATGCAGGGGAAAGGACAGTTAACGCATTAGGTACAACTGGTAGACTGCAAGTGACAAAGACTGCAAAAGGCAACTTACTCCGTGTCACAGCGTCTAAGGCACAACCTGAACCCGTGGCTCCTCCCCCTACAACGAGAACATCAAACTCCTGGGTGTTGCGTAAGGCCGTTAGCTGGGCTTGCCTGGATGGGAGCTCGTCTTGGAAGGCCATGTTCACCTGTTCAATCGCCTCCACGCGCGATAGTCGGGCCTAGACCATCCACACAAACAAACCAGTCATCCATTTCATTGTCATATGACTCCAGGGGACAGTGCACATTAATAAATGTGTTTCATTATTATGCACGTCTTCACATTCTTTATGATGGATTTAGGAAAAAAGAAACCATGCATTTTCTGTGGGAAAAAACCTCAGACCCTACCAAGGAATAAAAAACTATAAATCACATGCTAATTTATAACAACCCCCCTACTACCCCACCCTATTTCAAAATATTGTCAATTTAGATTAATGACTAAATCTGCATGCTACATGCATATGTGTTAAGCTAAGATGGTAAAGTACAAAAATATATTGACATAAAAACTAATAAAAGAAAGCTAATAAAATCCACAAAAAAGTATTTATAGTAGAGTAATAGTACAGTAACTAAAGATTATAACCAGATTATCTACAACATAGCGAACAAACAGACAAAAAACTGCAGAAGAGGTCAGTCAAAGTCTCTATCAGTAAGGAGATATGAGGTAATATATATAATAATATATGCCATTTAGCAGACGCTTTTATCCAAAGCGACTTACAGTCATGCGTGCATACATTTTTGTGTATGGGTGGTCCCGGGGATCGAACCCACTACCTTGGCGTTACAAGCGCCGTGCTCTACCGGCTGAGCTACAGAGGTACCCGCCTTCTTAGCAGCATGCATGCATAATGAGTGACATTGTATATCACTGCTTAAAAGATGCTTACCAATTCATACTTTGGGATGATGACATGGAATAAAAGAGAATGACACCAACAACAAAAAAATAAGTAAAGTAGCCTATTAGTAGGGAAGGGATCAACCTTCCCAAACCATCTGCTGATAACTGGACCTAATCGTTTCTATACATAAACTTTTTAATACATAAAGAAATTGAAATTGAGATCTACAAGGACAAACATGACCAAAGTCACCAAAAAGTAACCAAAGCTTAGTTGATTTCTGCACATACAGTATTTGACCTGGCTGACATGCAGTCTTCAAGTTTCACTGAAGCATTTCAACAACATGGACGCTAGCAGCTCACCTGTTTTTTTCTGTATTCGGTCAGCTGTGTAAGGCCATAAAAGGCTACCAAGCCTCCACTTGCTAAGACAGCAGTTCCTTTGACTGTCTTTCGGATTGCCATGCCACCTGTAAGACAAAATACAATTGGAACTGAGAAAAATACACATCAATAGGCATAGCCTATCATGATACTAATATGCATTTGAAAGCAGTTAGAATTAACCTACCCCTTTTTGTTTGTTCAGTTTGCAAAAAGTTTAGGAAGTTGCTCTCAAGGGCGTTAGTGTTGTGTTGGCTAATCTAACCTGATTTACAGTGGTGGTTTGGTCTGTGACTTTTTCCTGATACCATCAATCTCAACCAGAGTAGTAACCAAAGAAGTGTTAAACAAATCAAAATATATTTTATATTTGCGATTCTTCAAAGTAGCCACCCTTTGCCTTGATGACAGCTTTGCACACTCTTGGCATTCTCTCAACCAGCTTCATGAGGTATTCACCTGGTGCCGGAGGGGATGGCTGCCGTTTTATGGACTCTTAACCAACCGTGCTATTTAGTGTGTTTTTTCGCATTGTTTGTAACTTATTTTGTACATAATGTTGCTGCTACCGTCTCTTATGACCAAAAAGAGCTTCTGGACATCAGAACAGCGATTATTGACCTTGAACTGGACGAATAATTTTGATTTGATGAGTCGGACGAGAGGGATTTGCTCCAGACACAAGACAGGGCCCTCATCCCCGTCATTCGCAGTAGAAAGAAAAGGAGATATCGCAGAAGGAGATTGGGGTGCTTGGTAAGGAGCCGGAGACGAGTGGCTAATCTGCCTTTGCCATCGATAATATTGGCCAATTTACAATCGCTTGATAATAAAGTGGACAAACTACAGGCACGAATATCCTACCAACGGGACATTAAAAACTGTAATATCTTATGTTTCACGGAATCGTGGCTGAATGAAGACATGAATAACATACAGCTGGCGGGTTATACAGTGTATCGGCAGGATAGAACAGCAGCCTCTGGTAAGAAAAGGGGTGGCGGTATATGTATATTTGTAAACAACAGCTGGTGTACGATATCGAAGGACGTCTGGAGGTTTTGCTTGCCTGAGGTAGAGTATCTCATGATAAGCTGTAGACCACACTATCTACCAAGAGATTTTTCATTTATATTCTTCGTAGCTGTCTATTTACCACCACAAACCGATGCTGGCACTAAGACCGCACTCAATGAACTGTATACGGCCATAAGCAAAGAGGAAAACGCTCATCCAGAGGCGGCACTCCTAGTGGCCGGGGACTTTAATGCATGGAAACTTAAATCCGTTTTACCTCATTTCATGTTAAATGTGCAACCAGAGGGAAAAAAACTCTAGACCACCTTTACTCCACACACAGAGATGCGTACAAAGCTCTCCCTTGCCCTCCATTTGGCAAATCTGACCATAATTCCATCCTCCTGATTCCTGCTTACAAGCAAAAACGAAAGAAGGAAGCACCAGTGACTCGGTCAATAAAAAAGTGGTCTGATGAATCAGATGCTAAGCTACAGGACTGTTTTGCTAGCACAGACTGGAATATGTTCCGGGATTCTTCCGATGGCATTGAGGAGTACACCACATCAGTCACTGGCTTCATCAATAAGTGCATCGATGACGTCGTCCCCACAGTGACTGTACGTACATACCCCAACCAGAAGCCATGGATTACAGGCAACATCCGCACTGAGCTAAAGGGTAGAGCTGCCGCTTTCAAGGAGCGGGACTCTAACCCGGAAGCTTATAAGAAATCCCGCTATGCCCTCCGACGAACCATCAAACAGGCAAAGTGTCACTACAGGACTAAGATCGAATCGTACTACACCGGCTCCGACGCTTATCGGATGTGGCAGGGCTTGCAAACTATTATAGACTACAAAGGGAAGCACAGCCGCGAGCTGGCCAGTGACACGAGCCTAACAGACGAGCTAAATTACTTCTTTGCTCGCTTCGAGGCAAGTAACACTGAAACATGCATGAGAGCATCAGCTGTTCCGGACGACTGTGTGATCACGCTCTCCGTAGACGATGTGAGTAAGACCTTTAAACAGGTCAACATTCACAAGGCCGCAGGGCCAGACGGATTACCAGGACGTGTACTCCGAGCATGCGCTGACCAACTGTCAAGTGTCTTCACTGACATTTTCAACATGTTCCTGACTGAGTCTGTAATACCAACATGTTTCAAGCAGACCACCATAGTCTCTGTGCCCAAGAACACTAAGGTAACCTGCCTAAATGACTACCGACCCGTAGCACTCACATCTTTAGCCATGAAGTGCTTTGAAAGGCTGATCATGGCTCACATCAACACCATTATCCCAGAAACCCTAGACCCACTCCAATTTGCATACCACCCCAACAGATCCACAGATGAAGCAATCTCCATTGCGCTCCACACTGCCCTTTCACACCTGGACAAAAGGAACACCTATGTGAGAATGCTATTCATTGACTACAGCTCAGCGTTCAACACCATAGTGCCCTCAAAGCTCATCACTAAGCTAAGGACCCTGGGACACCTCCCTCTGCAACTGGATCCTTGACTTCCTGATGGGCCGCCCCCAGGTGTTAAGGATAGGGTAACAACACATCCACCACGCTGATCTTCAACACCAGGGCCCCTCAGGGGTGCGTGCTCAGTCCCCTCCTGTACTGCCTGTTCACTCATGACTGCATGGCCAGGCACGACTCCAACACCATCATTACGTTTGCCGATGACACAACAGTGGTAGGCCTGATCACCGACAACGACGAGACAGCCTATAGGGAGGAGGTCAGAGACCTGGTCGTGTGGTGCCAGGACAACAACCTCTCCCTCAACGTGATCAAGACTGTAAGTCGCTTTGGATAAAAGCGTCTGCTAAATGGCATATTATTATTATTATTATTACAAAGGAGATGATTGTGGACTGCAGGAAAAAGAAGAGGACCGAGCACGCCCCCATTCTCATCGATGGGGCTGTAGTGGAGCAGGTTGAGAGATTCAAGTTCCTTGGTGTCCACATCACCAACAAACTAACATGGTCTAAGCACACCAAGACAGTCGTGAAGAGGGCACGACAAAACCTATTCCCACTAAGGAGACTGAAAAGATTTGGCATGGGTCCTCAGATCCTCAAAAGGTTCTATAGCTGCACCATCGAGAGCATCCTGACTGGTTGCATCACTGCCTGGTATGGCAACTGCTTGGCCTCCGACCGCAAGGCACTACAGAGGGTAGGGCGTACGGCCCAGTACATCACTGGGGCAAAGCTTCCTGCCATCCAGGACCTCTATACCAGACGGTGTCAGAGGAAGGCCCTAAAAATTGTCAAAAACTCCAGCCACCATAGTCATAGACTGTTCTCTCTGCTACCACACGGCAAGCGGTACCGGAGCGCCAAGTCTAGGTCCAAGAGGCTTCTAAACAGCTTCTACCCCCAAGCCATAAGACTCATCTAATCAAATGGCTACCCAGACTATTTGCATTGCCCCCCCCCCCCCCCCCCCCCCCTCTCCCCCTCCCTTTTTTACGCTGCTGCTACTCTCTGTTTATTATCTATGCATAGTCACTTTAATAACTCTACCTACACTACCGTTCAAACATTTGGGGTCACTTAGTTTTCAAAAGAAAAGCACTTTTTTTGTCCATTAAATTAACATCAAATTGATCAGAAATACAGTGTAGACATTGTTAATGTTGTAAATGGCTATTGTAGCTGGAAACGGCTGATTTTTTATTGAATATCTACATAGATGTACAGAGGCCCATTATCAGCAACCATCAGTCCTGTGTTCCAATGGCACGTTGTGTTTGCTAATCCAGGTTTATCATTTTAAAAGGCTAATTGATCATTACAAAACCCTTTTGCAATTATGTTAGCACAGCTGAAAACTGTTGTGCTGATTAAAGAAGCAATACAACTGGCCTTCTTGAGACTAGTTGAGTATCTGGAGCATCAACAATTGTGGGTTCGATTACAGAATCAAAATGGCCAGAAACAAATAACTTTCTTCTGAAACTCGTCAGTCTATTCTTGTTCTGAGAAATGAAGGCTATTCCATGTGAGAAATTGCCAAGAAACTGAAGATCTCGTACAACGCTGTGTACTACTCCCTTCACAGAACAGTGCAAACTGTCTCTAACCAGAATAGAAAGAGAAGTGGGAGGCCCCGGTGCACAACTGAGCAAGAGGACAAATACATTGGTGTCTAGTTTGAGAAACAGGCGCCTCACAGGTCCTCAACTGGCAGCTTCATTAAATAGTGCTCTTTCCATGACATAGACTGACCAGGTGAATACAGGTGAAAGCTATGATCCCTTATTGATGTCACTTGTTAAATCCACTTCAAATCAGTGCAGATGAAGGGGAGGAGAGAGGTTAAAGGATACTTTTTAAGCCTTGAGACATGGATTGTGTATGTGTGCCATTCAGAGCGTGAATGGGCAAGACAAAATATTTAAGTGCGTTCGAACGGGGTATGGTAGTAGGTGCCAGGCGCACCGGTTTGTGTCAAGAACTGCGACACTGCTGGGTTTTTCATGCTCAACAGTTTCCCGTGTGTATCAAGAATGGTCCACCACCCAAAGGACATCCAGCCAACTTGACACAACTGTGGGAAGCATTGGAGTCAACATGGGCCAGCATCCCTGTAGAATGCTTTCAACACCTTCTAGAGTCCATTGTTTTGTATACTCAGTGTATATCTAAACTATGCGTAGGAATAATTTGGAACAGATTTCCAAAATTAAAATCACTTGGAGCTGATTTGCTTGTGTTTTTAAGGTCTTTTATGTCCAACAATAAAAAACATATTCTTGTTTTTTGCTCAGAAAACTTGGGGGGCCATGTACAGTTGTGGAACCCTGGCCTAGCCTATTCAACTGTTGCCAGGACACCCTCCTCATCGGCACCACAAGTTGGAGAACAGGCACAAGGTGAGAAAATCCTGCCATCCAGCTGCTTAAGGAGAAAGCCATGCAGCTTATACAAAGCTTGAGCTAATTCCCTCATCCATTCTAGGAGACTTTAGATGGACCGAAATGGAATCACAGCGAATTATGAAGCAAAGATGGAATAACAGTAAACAGTGGCAAGTGGCT